AGTCAAGCCTGGTTTGGCCACGTCTCCATGAGATGCTGGTACCATGGTGTGGACGCTGAGCACTACCTGCCCACTCAGGGTGGTCCTCAGGGACAGTGAAGCAGGCAATCTCCCCTCCCACAGTCTGCAATGTGACAGGGCCCAGGATACAGATCTACACTGACGCACGGGGAGCTGCTAACACTTTGGCTGATGGTCAAGGACTTGAAAGAAACAGGACTGAGATTAGTGACAAGATCTGGGTGGGGACGGAGCCCTTGAAATGGGCCCAGACTGTGAAAGTACCTGTATCTATGCTCCCTTTATTCAGATGTGTTCTGTTCCCACCAAAGAGGATCCCTGCAGAGAATGCTCTTAATACTCTGCAGGCCTTGGGGAAGCAGTCAGCTTGCTTCCCCAGCCACCATGCTTGCTCAGTGGGCCCGTGAACAAGGTGGCCATTAGACAGGGGTGGAGACTCAGCTAGGGTCAACATCCATGCTTTCCCTTACCAAGGCCAACCAGGCTGACACTACTGCTGTCTGATCTGCTAACCACACAGCCTCACACTGGGATGGCCTCATTTCCCAGGAGGACCAGCTATCCACCTGCTGTCAGGTTGACTACACTCGGCCCCTCCCATCAAAGGACTGAAATTTGTCTTCACTGGAATAAACCTTTTCCTGGGTGTGGACTTACCTGCCCTGCCCCTTAGCATCACCTGCTGGCACGACATTGCTTCTGATTAGGGCCCCCAGTTCACAGCAAAGGGCATGCGGCAATGGGCTCATGTCCATGCACACATCACAACTGCCAGCAGCTGGCCTCACGGAAGACTCAGGTACGTTTGTCTTAAAGGATGAGCTTTATGTTTAACTAGAAACTGCTATATGGTGCCGACCTCTCCAATAGCCTGAATACACAGGTCTGAGAATCAAGATGTGGAGGTGGAGGCTGCTCTTTTCAACACACCTAATAACCCAACCACACAACTTTCTTCCTCCTGTCACGGAAAACTCGAGTTTTGTTGGCCTTAAGGTCTTAGATCCCAAGGGCGGAAGCTCCCTTGAGAGGGACACAACGGTGGTCCTATTTAATTTGAAGAGACTGCTACATAACAGAGACGAGGACGGGTTGGAACCCAGGGGGATTCCCTGGTGCTTCTGAGTGTTTTCATGTAAAGGAAATAAAATAACTTGCCACAAAGGATCGCAATGAGGGTACCCCAAAGGGAGGGGGTGAAATGATTCAGAACTCAGATGCTTCAGAAATTAAGGTCTGGGGCAACCAGGTAACAGGCCCTGCCCTGGTGAGGGCAAGTGTGTGCAGGGTGGGGGCGGGTGGAGAGGATGTCACAGAGGTCAGCTACAGCCTGTGACAACCATGGACTCGGACAGCTAGGCATGTTTTCTCTCTGCGTATCAAATGTACCCGTTACATTTCCTATTTTCTCACCAAGTGAGGAGCCTGCTACAAATGTGTATTTTTACCACTCAGCTCTGGCAAGGATCCCTGCATTTAAAAGCCCCCAGTGACTTTATACCCCCGAAGTCTGAGAGTTCCTGGCTGTCCTGAATCCTGGATGTAAACCTCCTGCCCACAAAAGGAGGAAATGCATGGGCATGGACTTCCCAACACCCAGGCGAGTCCTGGGCTGCCTGCATCTCGGGCCACTGACTCGGTGGGGCTGGGGATGCCCCTGTCAAAGGACGGCCGCCCCAGCTAGTGTTCAGATTGCGGCCTTTCACCTTCTGCCACCCTCTTTCAGGCTGCTTGTGTTAATAAGGGGAGAACCGGCCAGTTTCCAGAATAAAATGTAGGTTTATTATGACGTAGGAAAGACTACAAGCCACTGGGAGGGAGGGGAAAGAGCCACACAGCTCCTCAAAAGCACAGGTAAAAGAAAGTTGTAAACATCTCGGTAGTAAAGTCTCCAACCACACACGATCATTGGGGTTTTCTTCTTACATCTTTTGTTTTCAAAGTTATAGTAAACAAAACAGTCACTTGAATTGTCAAAAGAAAAGTAATTTTATACAATGAAAAGCACACGTACCAAGCAAAATACAATAGCGTTCAGGTATACAGGGTGCTGCTGCAGGAGAGAGCCCCGAACTGTCCAGTGCCTGGTGGGAGGGGAGCCAGGCCTGAGGGGGCCCACGGGCTGGAGGGAGCCACCAGCCCAGCCACCCCACGCCTCCCAGCACATCTCATGTCTCCAAACACTCACTTCAGACATCTGCAGAGGGAAAGTCCAGCTGTCTCACTGTGAAGCACTCAAATGACAAGACAGCATCTCAGAGAGCCAGGTTATTTTTAACACACTGGTATGAGTGTGTATGGGGCGGGGGGTCACCCAATGAGTCTCTTGGTAAGATGCACTTTGTGACAATCTGAACACCTACATGAGACTGGATACCAGGAAAGGGAAGACCACTTTCCTGAATTTAACAGCTGGACTGGGAGCTAAAAAAGAAACTACCAAACCCACCACGTAGCTATTTCGTTCCCAACAAAGTTAATTCACACAAACACATCAAACACAGGACCTAATGTCCATGACCCAGGCAGAGGGCAAAGCCCATGGCCCCCCAATCAGGGGAGCAGTCCCCCGGGACCACTGGAGGACTGCTCACAGTGGCAGGCACAGGGGAATGCTAACAACACAAACACCACAGTGAACGAGGGGGTGATGTGGACACAGAAGTTTGAAATAATGCCCACAAAAAACCAAATGCAGTACTGTGTGTCTCTCCCCAGTCCCGATGCTCCTGGAGGAGCTGAGGCCCCTGCACACAAGCAAAAGAGGAAAACGGAGGGGGGTGCAGGGGGCGTGGGGAGCCAGGGTTGGGTCAAACCACAGGTAACCGCCAGACGGGCCGAGGCCAGCACACGTGTGGCTTTTCCCACATCACATCTGGACGTCCAGTAAAGCATGGACGCCATGGGGCTGGCCTTCAGGAAGGGGTTCCCCGGCTTGGAGGCCTACAGGCCAACTTCAGCCAACTCTCCTTCCCATTAGATCTGCTCCTGATTAAAGGACGATAACACCTCTCCCCAAAAGAGATCTTCACTGCACAGAACACACAAGTTCTGAACACACAGAACTTGGTCACACAGGGCCATTTCTGAGCATCTGGGCCCATTCATTTTTCTGTTTCTTATTTTAAAACATGCTTCAACTTGTATTCTTTAAATGCAGAAATACAACAGAAAATGAACAGGCAAGTGCTCAAAAAACCGTATCCCTAAGGCTTTTGCCACATAGGATGACTGCAGCTGTGACTTCTAGCATTTTCTGCACTGAGCGGCAGCTGCAGCTCCCCCCCAACCTAACCAGCTTATGACCTGGATCTGGCCTGCTGCTTGCTTTTGTGTGGCCTGTCAACTAAGAATAGTTTCGCCTTTTAAGTTTTTTAAAACACTCAAAATTTCTTGACACACAAAAATTACATGCAATTCAAATTTCAGTGTCCACAAATAAAATTTGATTGCGACACAGCCACACTCGTGTGTTTACACATTATCTATGGTGGAGACTATACAGCCCACAAAGCCTACAATATAGACTACCTGGCTCTTCATGAAAAACATTTGTTGGCCTCTGAAACAGATGATCCTACTCTCTCCAGCACTGAAGATCCCACAGTTCAGATGCAGACGGGGCTCCCAAGACTAGCACAGCTTGAGAGATGGTTGTTTCACAAACTATATTAGAACAGCTTTTTCTCCCCCGGGTCCCTAGGTTGTAATTTCTCAGAAATGGATAAACAATCTAAGTTTGAGTTTGAATAGACAGATGCATGCAAAATATCTCACAAGCAACAATGCATATCGTTCTACTTCTTCAATCAGCTCTGCCAAGCTCAATCATGGAGTCATTTGATTCCTGCTATGACGGAAATGACACCAAATGTAAAGCAGGGGCACATGACCAACCTAACACGGTCTCCGCTGGAAGCTGTCAGCTTCAAATCTGATACATGAGATGGCAAGAGGTGAGAGACAGGCAATAGGACAGAAGAGCAGGAAGAAAAACAGGAGGAAGAGAACCAGTGAAACCAGTGGGGAATGCTCTGCATGCTCCACAGATGCAGACAAGAGGCCTTCACCGGCTGCAGCCCGAGTCTCCTCCAGGTGTCCACCTGCCCTTAACCAGCAGACACAGACGCTTGCACGGGGCGTTCACAGCACCAATCAAAAAGCAAGATTCACTCTCAAGAATAAAGGAGAAATGATCTAAATTTCAGTAAAAACTCAGTAATTCATTCACTTTACTATTATCACATTTATGAAATTCACCACTGTGGAAAAAGAGAAAAGGGGAGAGGGATAAGAAAATGCCTATTTCTAGAAAACCTAGAGATAACATCAGGGCCGATGCTTCCACATGCAGTTTGATGCTAAGTTATCTGCCGAACAGACGTGCTTGGAAACCCAAATGAGTGCCTTCAGTTTCCCAGGCTCTGGGGGCTGCTCTACAGCTGCTGAAAAAACGGAGGCTAAGAGTCCCACACCTAACACGGTTATCACCATGATGCACGAGACAAAGGCACTGGCAAAGTCCTCTGTCCTTGCACACTGTCTTTGTTTCCTCTACTGCTTTAATGGACCCATAATTTAAAAACAGGTGGCACCTGATTAAGCCGTGTGCTGGGCCACAGCTGAATGGAGTGCCAGGCAGAGGCTGCCCACGCGTGAGGACGCCCCAGTCTCCCGCACACACTTCTGAGGAGCACGGGAGACATGCAAGTGACAGATCTGCTCTGCCCTTCCCCACACACAGCGCACCCCGCTTAATTCTGTCTTCTGTGCAGTTCCGGTGCAGAGGCCCACAGACGAGGGTGTCTGTGTGGGAGGCAAGGTCACGTTGGGGAGGGGGTCATCGCGTGAGGGCTGCCAGCTCTTTGCCTTCATTTTTTCTGACCAGCTGCAGACACGGTTACTCGGTGTCTGTGTGGGAGGCAAGGTCACGTTGGGGAGGGGGTCATCGCGTGAGGGCTGCCAGCTCATTGCCTTCATTTTTTCTGACCAGCTGCAGACACGGTTACTCATACTCCAGGAACTGCTTGTGGTAGAACAGTAAGTACCTGCGGAGGCAGAGAGGAGGGTGCTTATGTTCTAATTCAAGATGCATCAAAACCCTAATGAGAGGATGTGTGCCCTGAGTCCATTTCTTAGTTAGACAGCTTTGGTTTTTCTGTCCCCAAGGAGGAACGGTCCTTTTGTTGGCCGGGGGCACCCACCCCAGCGCCCCCCCGCCTCAGCCAGCCTCCCACGGCCCTCTCTGCCAGCTCCCTCTCCTGTCTGCAGTGGCCGCGGCCCTTGTGTGGGGCCTGGCGTCTGGCAGGATGACGGCAGCAGGTTCCAGCCTAAACGCACCTCACCACCATCAAGGCTGTCCTCTAACACACAGCTTTTCTACATAAAACCTCCCAAGGGACTTTCCCATCGCTCAGAATACAAAGCCCAGGCCCTTGGCAGGGTTCGTGGCCACTGGCTTCGTCTCATCACTGGGGCTAGGAATCCCACTGACGGTCTAAGACTAAGAACTTAGTGAGGCTGAAGGTGAAGGAGGAAAGGGGCCTCCTGGACGCTGGAGGGGCCACGGTTTTCCAAGCCATGAAGGAATAAAACAGGGAATGGAGAGAGGAGCTGATAAAGAGCTGATGTGTTCAGTGCACACCGTGGTTAAAATAAATGACTGCTGCAATGCTCTCTGCATGAAAGGAGGGCGGCAAGGGCCTCTGGTTGGGTGCAGCCTCCTAATGAGCCTGGCATTCTACCCAGATCAAGGCCCTGTGACTTCGGCAGCTAAAGGTGAACATCCTTGAATGGTACCAGACACAGATGTGGATTTGGATGCCGATGTGGACGAGAAGCAAAGCTTCCACCGCAGGGCATGCCCTCAACCCCAGGGACATACCCTTCACTGTCCAGCACGTCCTTGATGCTGGCCTTGGTGATGATGGCATCGTCACATTTGAACCACTGATCTTTGTGCTGCCGGATGAAGCTGGTGTAGTGGCCACTCTCCAAGGTCCCTTGATGGTTAACGACTGCAAACAAGGAATACCTAGTGTGGGAGGAAAGGAGTCAGAAGAGAGAGCAGGTGACTCGGTGTCATCACCAGCAGAAGCAGACAGCCCAGGCAGGGAAGGGGTGGCCTGTGGAGCTGACCCTGATGCCCAGCGGGCCGCGCAGGGAGAGGGTACCTGGCCCTCACCAGGCCCAGCTGCTTCCTATAACCGTGTCTAGTGAAGGGGTGAGAGCATCGGGTGGAGATGCTGTACCCACTCTAGCCTTTCATTCCTTCTACAACACCAACAGCAAGAAGAACGGTACAAGGAGGAACAGAGGCCTTCTCATGTGTCAGCGAAGGCAGAGCCCAGTGGTCCAGACGGAACCTCAGTTGTGGCGAGAGCATTTGTAACACACAGGGGTGGACGGTGCTGTCCTCACAGAGGGCAGGGCAGCCAGGCTGGGCAAGCAGGTCAGTGGCCACAAGACATAAGAGCTGTGCTGATGCCGCTGCTACGTGCACCACCCCGAGACCCCGGTGGGCCTCCCTGCAGGGCTCCCAACCAGAGAGGCCCAGGACACAGGCCATGCATCACTCACTTGTTATCGTTACTGAGACTGTCCGTGGGCTGCTGGTACTGTCCGTTCATCCTGCTCTCTTTGCTGTAACAAACACCAGCAAAACTCAGCATCATTTAAGGTAATTATGAAAGAGACACAAAACTCTAATGATAACATCAGCAGTTACTGAAGGCCTACCATGCCAGACACTGTGACGGTGCATTTTCTGTGTGCTTTCTAGTTCTCCCAACAACTCCGTTTCAGGCAGAAATTACCCCCATGTTACAGTCAGGAAACAAGCTCAGGCTGTGAAGTGTACACCCGGGCCCCAGAGCTACATGGCCATGCCTCTTGATTAGTCAATATTGGATCCTCTCTTGAGCGGGACCACAGGGCCATCTGCTTCTGGATGGGCTTCACTCACAAAGGAAGTTGGATCTGGGATGCTTTTGCTTTATTTGTGATACACCAGATGGTGAAAGTTCTCATCCCCACACAGGTAGAGGGATAGTTTTGGAAAGTATGTTAAGTCCACTGAACACCTGAACAGTTGCTTCCTCAAAAAGAACCAAGGTTACTGCTACTTATTTTGCTACCAGCACATCTTCTGGTAAGATGGGGGGAAGCAGTGCTGGAAACGTGGAGCGGCAAGCTCTATTTAGTGCGTTTACCTGCTGCTATCAGCTGAAACATGAAGATCTTGAAGCCCCTGACAGCAGCAGTAGCACCACTACCTCCCTGGACACGTGAAATCATGCTTGGGTTGTCTCACTCTCCCAGGTGCAGGGTGGCAACATGGAGCAGTAATTCTGATGGTCTTGTTTTATTTGAGACAGTCACTTGTGTACCACAGAGGCAGGACCACCACAAGAAAGGGCACAAGCAAGATGCCAATAACTAACAAAAGGCAATTCGCTGTAGATGGTGCAGGGGGCAACCTCCGTCCACATTTCAACTCTCAGGATCTGTGCATGAGACCCTATTTGTAAAAAAGGTCTCTGCACATGTAATTAAATTAAAGATATCATGATGAGATCATCCTGGATGATCTGGGTGGGCCCTAAACCCAATGACCAGTGTCTTCAATAGAGAAGAAGAGAAGAGATCAGACACAGACTCGATGGCCTTGTGGCCAGGGGGACAGGGGAGGGGTCTGGCCACAAAAGGAACGCCTGCAGCTCCCAGAAGACAGAAGCGCGAGGAACAGAATCTTCCCTACACACTTTGGAGGTGCGGCTCCGCCAACACCTTGATCCCGGTTTTCTTGAGAGTTAAATTTAGAACAGAATCTTCCCTACACACTTTGGAGGTGCGGCTCCGCCAACACCTTGATCCCGGTTTTTTTGAGAGTTTAAGTGTCTACGATATAAAGATTTGAAAATAAGAAAAATGGAGTCTACAACTGTAAAATCAACTATTTTTATCTGTTATTTCAAAATCTAGTCCATCAACTAAAATGCTACCTTCTTGCTGTGACCCCACCTGGATGACTTCTCAAGTGTGAAAGTTGATAAAGAAATGCTGAGGGAAAGGCAAAGCAGGAACAGTGTATCTGAGGAAAAGCAACTCACTGAAACACACGTGTCCTGGGTTAAGATCGGGATGAATAATTAGGTCCTGGAAGGCACCGTTTATACTCGTTTCCATGTTCACCCCGACACAGAGCCCAGTGCTGGACTCCTGCCCTAACAGGGCCATTCTCCTGACCATGACACAGGTGAACAAACTCTTTCCTACCTGGAGGCCATGAAGGGGGTCATGTCCAGCTCCAGGGGGAAGGACACGTAGGTGGTGATCTTCCGCCTCAGCTTGGCCGAGTGTTCAAATCGCTACAGAAACGAGGAGGGTGAGGGGAGCAGGTGATGCCACGTCAGCTCACGGGCTTGGCAGCTTCCTCCAAGGACACTCTCTGAGCCTCTTACTTTACTTCTGAACTGCCCTTTGGCCACACCTAGAGCTTACAGACTCAATATACAACGTTAACCAGGGATGTGTTTGCACCAGACAAAAGACGTTCCTTTGATGAGATCAAGGGCCACCAAATACAGCTAGGGAGCTAGGAATGGGTTTTTCACATTTTGGAGGGCCATAAAATAAAAAAGAATATGTAATAGAGATCATATGTGGCCCATGAAGCCTAAAATATTTACTATGTGGCCTTTCACAGAAAAAGCCTGCTGACTCTCGACTGGATCACAATGCTGAAGGTCTTTGTTCTAAAGTAAAAGAAACTTGGGGAAGGAGGAAACGGAAGAACTTGGATAGGAGAAGTAATAAAACCTTAATACCTCTCCACCCCAATAGAGTAACTCACATCCTATTTTTATTATGAGGCAAATACTTTTGTTTACAAACCCCAACCTCTCAGGAACAGACAGGAAAAATCATAGCTCACATCCTCTCGTTTCTTTAGCTTTCCTTACTAACTCACTGCAATTAGAAAACACACTCTGCACAGCACACCAGTAAGCTGCAAGCTGTACTGTGAACTAAAAATCAAGCCCGCACTAGAGCTGGCAGTTTCTGGAATGCATACTTTGAGATGAAAACAGGCTACGATGGGCAGCTTCTTCATGGTGAGCTGCTTCGTGGACTCCTGGTAGCTGTGGCAACCGCTACACTTGATCTTGGCGCTGCTTCCCAAGTGCTCTGGTCTGGTAAATCTGCAAAAGATGGGAGAGGTAACAGACAGGAAGAAGAGAGCAAAGAGGCATTTTATCACTCTCAATAGGTTGATTTCCCTACTAAAAACACACGCACACAGTTAAGGACGTTTATAATTTCACAATGAAAAACAGAAGCTATTTCTTCCTTCGCCTTCTCTATCTCATTGAAAAATATTTATTTTTTAAATCTAGATTTTAAAAATTTCTTCTTGGTTATCGACACAAGTTTTTCAGAATAAAGCAAATGCAATCTTATTTCAGTCTGACACATCAGCCACCTGGAATCCAGAGTTTCAACACCACTGTGGATTCCAAATTGTCTGCCGTCAACAATAATTTCACTTTTGTGGTTCTAAAAAGTGCCCTGTCAAGCAGCAACACTGAGCTGACACTCCTCCCGAGTGCCACGGCTGCCTCCCATGACATGTCTTCCCCTGTCCCACTCTCTAGAAGAGAAGCCACAGCATTTTGAGGATTACGTTCCTCAAGGCATCACAGCTTGCAACATACTGTGAAAACTCCTGGTAAAAGGGTTTCTTTTATTTCAAAGGTAACCTGAGAAAGTGTCATTCTGATGTGTCTACTTTAGGACACTGTGCTGCTGTGTCTGTAGGTCCCTGTAGCTCGCTGGCTGAGGAGCTGGGCTCCCTCCCCTAGATGGCCCCCAATGGCACCTTGTAGCAGGAAGCAGGAAGTGACTCTGCTAAAACCGGTTTCAGCTGCTCCAGACCAAACCACCAGGCCACCAAAAAATACTTATCTTTAATATTTTGTTTAAATAAAAACTCTGGGGAAATGGTAATAATTTTGTAACTACCCTACAACTCAGCAACTGAATGTCTCAGAAAAATGAATGGCCTATGTTCACATAAAAACTGTACACAAATGTTTATAGCAGTTTTATTCATAATAGTCAAAAACTGGAAACCCACTTATCCTTCAACAAGTGAATGGTTAAACAGACCGAGACGTCCATACCCTGGAACAATGAAAGGATGAGACTATGATACACGCGGCGCCCTGGGTGGCTCTCCAGAGAATCGTGTGAGTGAAGAAAGCCAATCCCAAAGGTTACACTTTACGTGATTCCATTCCCGTGACATTCTCGAATGTGAAGTTTATGCAAATGGGGGACGGATGCACGGGCTGCCGGGGCTGTGGGGGAGGTGGCTGCGGGCCCTGTGGTGAGGGAGTGTGGCAAACTTCTGTGTCAGTGTCAGATCCTGACCGATACCATGCCACAGCGCCGTGGGTGCTGCCATGGGGGACACTGGGTAAAGGGGCATGGGATCTCTGTGTTATTTCTTACCTGGCATTGGAAACTACAATTACCTAAACACAGAAAGTTTAATTTAAAAAAATGAGATGTCTGGAGAAATGGTAATTTTCTAACAGTGAAGATTATGTCATATAAAGGCTGCCTCGGACAAGTCGGTGGGCATTTCCTGCACAGGTGGTAGCTACTGAAGACAAGACCCCCAAAACAGATGTTTCCATATAGTGCATGCCAAATTTTAAACTTTAAAGTTTAAAACAAACAAAAAATTCTATCTTTCACAACCAGGAATGGAAGCCCCTGTTTATCCTGCGGAAATTCCGCCACCTCGCCTAGGGCAAGCCAGGGCCCCTCCCGACAGCTGACCTCTCCTATCAGCTCTGTCATCCAGTCGCAGAAGGTGCTTCAACACAGCCTGGAGATGGGGTCACACAACCTCTCCTGGCAACCTCCTGGTGCCATCACAAGCCCATGGCGTCCCACCACGTGCAGCTCTGCACAGGCCAGCTCGTGAGATGCGGATTCTCCCTCATTGCCTGCTTTTGGCAGAGTTTCACTCGTACTGAAATTTATGACTAAATTTAATTCAGTAGTAAAGACACTTGAAAAATGTGTTTGGTTTCGGTTATTCACTTGTTTCCCAAATTAAAAATTTGATACTCCATTCTGTGTCTGGACCCATCAGTGGGACAAAGTTGATGCATTTTAAATTCTAAACATGCAAATGTGGGCCTATAACGAGATAAAAACCAAAACGCTTGTGCCTCTGCTAAGGAATACTTCACTCAACAAGGGCTCTTCTGCAGTCAAGGACTCCTCCGCAGTAACCTTTGATTAATGCAAGTAAAAGAAAATAAAGTTAAGACACAACTGTACTTGATTAAAGTTTAGGAATGTTTCTCCTCTTTCCGCAACTGTGAGGACTCCTCCGCAGTAACCTTTGATTAATGCAAGTAAAAGAAAATAAAGTTAAGACACAACCGTACTTGATTAAAGTTTAGGAATGTTTCTCCTCTTTCCGCAACTGTGTGCTACAGCTACTTAAATCCTAAATCTTATCACTTATCTAAATTGATAAAGTAAGTAAAGTGCAGAACACCACGAATGTGTGTTAATTGCTTGCGGAAAAGGCATGTACCACTGAGCAAGGGGCCAGCCCTCAGCTCGCACTCTGACACGGGTCATCCACCACAGAAGACGAGGGGATTCCCGTTTTGCTCTTTGGCTCTCGGCTCATTTACAGGGTGGAGTGGGATTGGAATAGTAGCTTAGGATGCAGGTTCCCTGCAATGCAAAGCTGGTGGGCAGAAATGTCTTGTCACCTTGCCAGGAAAAAAAAGACAAACTAGTATGAGCTACTGAGCATCAGCTGTAGCCAACTGCAGGTTAGAGGTGTATCTTCTGTCAATGCACTATCCTGGACACGTGAAAGAAAGATCCTAGTTTGGTTCTGAATTCAGGCCTTTGCTCTGATCGACCATTGCTTCCACACAGCCCTCCTGCGAGGAAGACGCTGCTTCTCTGCGCGAGTGTGGCGATGTCTTACCTTCGCAGGCAGTCCGTGAGCGTAGTGGTTCCTGATATATGGCTCTCCCCATTCACCACGCTGCCCTCGCTCCCGGGGCTCAGCGGCCAGAATGGGGTGGAAGAGCCAGGCAGATCTAAACTGATGTCCCAGAAGGGGTCTATTGTGGTGGAGACGCCACTGGAAGCAAAAGGAGATCAAGACACATGTGAGGACACCTGCTGTGCTCCAGAGGCAGCCCCTGGTAGAGGGCATCTCAGCACCCTTTCCCAGCTCTGTCCTTCTGACCCAGTGACATCTCAGGTCGGTCGAAGCAGACATGCTCACTCCCAACATGTGGCCCAGAGAGGGACGTGTGCAGACCACATAAGGTAAGGGCTGCTGCTAAGGTAATGGTTTCTGAACCTGGAAGATCATCACGATCATTTAGGGATTTTTCTGGAAGAGTATAAATTCCCAGGCTTCAGGTCCAGAGGCTCTGAATCCATGAGTCTACCTCAGCTGCATATGAGACTGTAAGATCATTAACCGGAAGCTGGGACCTGCTACCCTAAGTGGCAGTGGAGACCCCCAAGCACATTCCACAGAGCGCACAGCCGGGCACAGCTGCACTGCTGGTCGTTCAATGCTGTATTGAACAAGGCCCATGCCTTCCTAGAGATTTACTTCACAATATAAAAAAGGGAACTCACACATCGGGAAATTTACTACAGATATTTAGTTATTTTTTTCTCTGTCCCAACGAGTGACAGCCGCCACTGGTATAATCCCAGGGCAAGAATGTAAACAAGAGTTTCCTCTTAGCACCAGCTCCCAAATCCTGGCCACACTGCCTGGGGGAGGATCTGTGCAAGTGCTCACAGATATTAAACAGGATACCTATCAATCAGAGACGACCTCCTGATAATGGAACTCAGGAGTTAAGGGCCAGTGAGGTCTAAACTGTTTAAAGCCAAGGCTCAAAATGATTTAAGCTACTTAAGAGAAAGCCACGTCTGTGCAAGAGGCAGCGCTGACCCTTCTTCACTATCTAGTCCACCCTACACAGACTGCAAGTGGTAATCCATTGTGCACTCTGAAATAATTTAGTGGATCATAACCAGGGTTTAAAAAATTGGAGTGGAATAAAAAACATCAGTGTGCACCAAGGTTGAGTCAGAGAGCTCCTCTAACCGAACAAAAGAATGGATTCTCTGCCAGGCACTAAAAGCTCAGAGCTCTAGGCAGATACTATACCTGTAAAAGAATTAGGGGTGATATATCGAAGAAAGTGGAAAAGGAAACATGAAATGATTAAAACTAACACACTTTGGAGCATGTATGTCAAAAATCTGCCAAATATGATCTATCCCTGGGTTCCTGGGAACAGCAGCAGCAGACACACTCCTGGGGACAGAAGTTGGGAGGGCCAAATGCAGCACCTTCAGCACTCAGGGAGTCTGCTAATGCCTCTCGTGTTTTTCTATTAGAGTTATTTTATCTCAACAAATGACCATGGCATAGTTGTTTACATGAACTGTCTCCTGCTTATCATCTGGTTGCTGCTGCAGATGCTCCACTAAGAGCCAAATAACCTAGAGAGCAGGATGGCAATGCCAACCGTGCTTTAGGCTTAAGGGTCCACTTTAGAAACCTCTCAGAGCACAGTTCTGCCAGCTGGGAAATGCACTGTGATGCTGGCACGGCCTGGCGGGCTTGGACATTGCAGGATGTCTGACGCTCTGCTGAGGGTGAGCTGTACAGACGCCCACCCCACACTTACTGGCAGACCTGGCAGGTGACGTCCGACTGCAGCCCACCCGTGAAGATCTGGTCTATGATGCAGTTGCAGTGGTTGGGGTTGTTGGCCTTCTTCCCGTTATCGTCACCTGGGGACAGACCACGGTTCTGTGATTAGCATCTGTGCACCACAAAGACAGCGAGTTCCCAGGAGAAGCGCACGTTTACCCGGCAGAAGCGCTAGGAAGGCAGAGTGCAGGCACCTTAAGGGTGTGTGAAGATATTTACCAGTTCAGCAGAAGGACTTGGCGGAGGATCTCATCACCATTTAATTTGATGAGAAATCACAGAACCTGCATTACTATTATTCTTCTTTCCCTATGAAGATCTCCTTAGCTTCTATCTTGGCCACAAAGTATATCTGATGCCCAATAATCAAGTAAGGCTACTGACTGCCCTTTTCATATACAGAATAACTGAATAAACACTTTTCCAGTGAGAAGGCTGAACATGTTGTAGGCGAAATACTCCCAGGGAAGCCCCTACCTCTCCTCAACTAGAGAAAATGTTCCCTCACTGCATAAAGCACCATAGCACAACTCCATGCAGGTGTTTCCCTATCAGCTCCTGCAACTGGAACCTCAGGCGGACAGCTGATGTCTCGGGTCAATTGTGTCTGGAAGTACCTCTCCCACCCTCTCCCTTCAATACACATTTTATTCGTGTGTGTAGATAAATGAATGCAAAACTCATGTAGTGGATTATATATTCAAATATGGCTTATATTGTATGTAACTTTCATTCAACTAAACAATAAGGATGAAGTGTGCGGCCATCTGTGTATATATTACACGTCAAAAAGTTGAATTAGGGCTGGCCAGTGGCTCACTTGGGGGAGTGTGGTGCTGATAATGCCAAGGTTAAGGGTTCAGATCCCAGTACCAGCCAGCCACCAAAAAAAGTTGAATTGAATTGTTACAGAGGAATAAAGAATGGCCACTGAGTCCTCTGACAGCAGTTGACCAGAGTTTATTTGGGAGAAAACGCCACCCAGAAGAATCTCAAATTCAGGGACAAAATGTTAGGATACTACAAAATACATACAGGAAGGTGCAAAGAAAAATGAACGGGAAGGGCCGGCCCAGTGGCACACTCGGTAGAGTGCAGCGCTTGGGAGTGTGGCAGAGCTCCCGCTGAGGGTTCGGATCCCATATAGAGACCGGTCCGCTCACTGGCTGAGCGCGGTGCGGGCCCAACACCGAGGGTTGCGATCCCGTTGCCGGTCACGAAAAAAGACAAAAAAAGGAAAAAAAAAATGAACGGGAAGATGCTGTGGAGGCTGCAATGACATAAAGGACTATGCACAGTCGGGCACATGGCGGCTGGGGCAGCCTCGCTCCAGGGTCTGATGATTGCCCTTCTAAGAACCCCTTACATTCCTCTCCACACATTCCAGATGGAATAGTTTCATCATTTTTTGCTTATATAAAAAATTTAATAGCAACCCATTTCCAAATAACTGATTTTTAGAACAGATTTCCACTGGTTACAGAAGGCTCTTGATTATTCTTGTCAGGCGCTTAGAGTGATAATCTCTCACAGACAGACGGCTCTTTTCTGTTTGTATGTTATACATCACACTAGGAATCCAAACCTTACTCAAGCCATTAAGCAACTTTGATTCCTAGGGCAAGCATTAAAAGGATCATGTTATGTCTTCGGTAAAAAAAATTTAAGTACCAAAACCCCCAGAACTCTAAGCCATGACAGTTGATGAAAACAAGCCATCTTGTCTCAAGTGTGGGCTGCTTCTGGGCCGGGACCTCCGACTCTGCAGCACATCTGAGAGTGCCACAGGCCCTGTCAGCACAGCCCTGAGGTGATAAGGGCACCAGGAGAGCCAGCTCATGAGCTGTTGACAAAGTGACCCGGAAAAACATGGCTTTATTCTTTAAAAGATAAAATTAGCCTATGAGATACTGCCTATGACTAGCTGGACCAGCCAGCCCAGAGGCCACAGGTAACCCAGTAAATCTGTTACCTCAGCATGGTGGCTCTCAGAGAGTGGCACCTGAACCAGCAGCATCAGAACCACCTGAGAACTAAGTAGGAATGAAAAATTCTGCCCTCCCCCCAGGCCTACTGAATTGGCAATGCCAGCAGTGTGTTAAGCAGCCCACAGGTGACTGACCCACACTCGTGTTTGAGAACCACACCCTTCAAACTGGGAACTCAGTGGGGTGGGGGAGGAACTGATCTTGGCTCTCATTATTCAGTCCTAATCTCCCACTTCCAGCCCTAAGAGCTGCTGCCCGCCCCCCAACTATCAAAACCCACACATACCTGAGACCCTCCATGAGGACACTACCTTCTGGGCCAGGCTGTGGGTCTATGGTATGAGAGAATCCAAGTCCCAATAAGATCCCAAGAGACTTTAAAATTAAACAGCTGGGCTAGACGGTTAGCTCCGCTGGTTAGACCACAGTGTTACAACACCATGGTTAAGGGTTCAGATCCCTGTACTGGCCAGCCACCAAAAACAAAATTAAAAAAAATTAAAGTAGGGCCGGCCTGTGGCTCACTCGGGAGAGTGCGGTGCTGATGACACCAGGGCCACGGGTTCGGATCCTATATAGGGATGGCCGGTTTGCTCACTGGCTGAGCGTGGTGCTGACAACACCAAGCCAAGGGTTGAGATCCCCTTACCGGTCATCTTTTAAAAAAAAAAAAAAAAAAAATTAAAGTAAAGGACGTTGGCTGGAATCAGGGTCAGGGAGGAACTGGCAGGTGCACAGGTTCACTTCTGTGCCCCAGCTCTCTCTGGTTATTTTAGAGCAGCAATAAGTCTTTTTGAGACTCCCCCAGGAGAGGGAGATGGTTTTCATGGTTCAGCTGTATTTGGGGAGTGTTCAGAAGCCTCAGGCCCGAGGACCCAAGAGCCATCATGGCAGGCAGAGGCCACAGGGGCAGGGGTGCAGCGAGGGCTCCAGATGTGGCTGCTCACCATGCCGGTCACGGAGGACCAACTGCCAGGCTGCTGCACCCCTGCCAGGTCAGAAAACACCACCAAACAATCTTCTCTTAACAACAAACTAGAAAGAACCTCTTTGAGGGAACTATGGCATTTTTCTTATTGAAAGAAAAGAAAACCACAATTACAAAGTCTGTCACGCATATCAAATATGCCACCCGCCCTGTTTTCCATGTGCGCACACAGTCCCCTGCTGCCCCTGACAAAGGCGCTGGGCGGCAGGAGCGCGAGCCCACCTTTGCAGTGCCGGTGGAGCACGTCCAGGGCCGCGATGAGGAACTCGTGGGCGTCCTGCTGCTCATACCCCGCCAGGTGCCGCGCGTGAGTCCACACCAGGTGCAACAGCTTGTACGGGATGTGCGGGGACCGGTGCCCCGAGTAGAACTGCTCAGGGAGAAGGAAAAGGAAAACTGCTCGACTCACTGAACACTTGGGTCCAAATAAAAATCAGTTTGCAAAAAGGAAAAAGAAAATGGAATCATTTCTATCAAACTAGCAACAACCAATTCTAGGCAGCTGTTGTATATTTTTGCGTTGTGTGTGCTAAGTGTTCAGAGGCTAGCCCGGAGGTAACCGCAGTCAGCGCCAGGGCTGGCCAGCCAATTCTCTCCAGTGACTCTGCTCAGGATCCCACACCTGGCGGTGCATCTTCCAGTCCACAGCTCCCTAACTAGGGAAGATTCCACAGAGGGTTCTCGCCTGTTCAGATGCAGAAGCAGGAACATGCGAGACCATCTGACATTAGACTTCAGATTTTACCATCTGAGCCAGCATTAATTTTGCTTAGAACAGGTGCATAATGTACCTTTAAGACAGATTCAAAATTCTACATTATGAATTCTAAAAATAATCATGAAAACAAATGACATGGTAAAAAGTGTACCTATTAATAGATAATAATGAAATCAGCTTTGTTCTTAAGTTCCAAAAGGGCTTATACACTCAAGACACACACTAGATATTAACTGGAAGTTAACAGAATCAGCATGAGGTGGGCAAGAAAGGAAGAAATATCAAATTCCTAAACAGGCTTAATAAGGATTACACTTATAAGATAGTAAAAGGTGAGAGTTGGAGAAGAGCTGTAAGGAAGAGATGCTAATGTGTCATCTGATAAAGAGAAGAATTAGGAACTACTGTCAACAGGTAACAGAAAACAAAACTGCTCATACTAACAAAGAAGGACAAGGTGGCTAAACCACGCGCTGAACCCCCGTCAGTGAACACTGTAACTCAGGAGGCAAGTGCCCGCCACATCGATCAGGACTCGTGTTTGAAAGTGTTTTAGATTAATAGAATTTCCGTAAGTTGCAAATATGCAGTTTTCATTACATTAGCTGTAAAACAGATACCTACAATAGATTATGTGGTAGAAATCCAACAAAAAGGCCAAATCTCTAAACAAACAGCATGAATACCTCTCCACATATGCATGAGAGACCCCAAAGATCAGGCTACAGAGCAGTGGTTCTCCAAGTGCAGTCCCTGGACACTGGGCCAGCAGTAGACACACACCACTAAATGTGCATTCAACTAAATAACAGAGATCCAAAATACATGCTGCAAAAACTAGTGAAACTGAGTGGAGTAATAGACAAACCACAATTACAGCTGGCGATTTCAAAATTCCTCTTTCAGAAACATGGAAGAGCACACAGAAAAGATCTGTCAGTGAGGATACGGAAGAACCCATTATCACTACATAACATTCCTCTGTTCCTGCTGACAACCTTTTTCTAAATTGGAATGTAAGACTGGTTCACCATTTGAAAAAAATCAAAGAATTTTACGTTAACAAAATTAAAAAATCAAAATTAAAAAGCCATCTCAACAGCTATAGAAAAAGCATTTGAAAAAGGATAAAATCCATTCATGATACCCTCAGCAAACAGGGATTAGAAAGAAATTCCTCAACCTGCTGAAGTGCACCTAAGAAAAACGCACAGCTAAGTCACACTCGATCAAGACAAAGCTAGGACGTCCGCCTTACCACTCTTACCCACCCTTATCCCGGAAGCCCTACACTGTAAGGCAAGGAAAACAAGTAAAAGACAGAGACTGGAAAGAAACAAACCCACCCTTCTTTCTTCAAATTTATGATGGGAAAATTTACGTAGAAAATTCCAAAGAATCTAGAAAAAATTACTAGAACTAAAAAATGAGTTACCAAGGTCACAGGACAAAGATGAATACACAAAAATTATTTCCAGATACTAGCAATGAACAATTAAAAACTGAAACTAAAAACAGTACTACTTATGACAGCACCAAAAACATGAAATACTTAGGGATAAACATAACGGAATATGTGCAAGATTTGTATACTGACAATCACCAAACACTGATGAGAAAAACTGAAGACCTAAATAAATGGAGAGAGATACTGGAGAGAAACACTAATTTCCACACGAAAACCTGTATATAAAAGTTTACCACGGTTTTATTCTTTATCGCTAGAAATTGCAATCAACCCAAATATGTCTGAATGGGGAAATGGACAGCTGAGCTGCAGCCCACCATACAATGGAATATTACTCAGCAATAAAAAGCAGCAAATTTCTGACACATGCAACAACATGGGTGGAATCCCAACGTACCACAATAAGCAGCAGCCAGACTCGGAAAGGCTGCTCACTACATACTTTCACCTACAGGACATGCTGGGAAAGGAAACTCAGGGACAGAAACAGACTGGTAGCCACCAGGGGCTTAGGTGTTGGAGGGGCGGGGGGGGGGGGGCCTTTTTTCTGTATTGACCTTTGTCCTGTGACTGTACTAACTCATTTTTTAGTTCTAGCAACTTTTTCTAGATTCTTTGGCATTTTCTGTGTAAATAATCCCATCATAAATTTGAAGGGCACGAGGGAGTTTTGGGAGGTGACAGAACTTTTCTTTGCCCTGCGCGTGGCAGTAGTTACATACCTGTGCATTTCTCTGACTTCACAGATCTATACACTAAAAGGTAAATTTTACTGACTGTAAACTATACCCTAAAAAACCCTAAGTTTTAAAAACAATCTATGAGAGATGAATTTATCGCCTAATAGCAGCCCAGGTGAAACTATTGACAACCACCCACTTATTTCTCAATTGTACCCTTCTTTCTCCTATTCTGGTCCTCCAATAGTTTGATTCAGCCTGTTTGCTGCAGTGACCCCAGTAGTTAATGGTATGCTGGAGGTACTTAGTAACAGGTTAGGCTAGACCCGAGGTCAGCAAACTTTCTCTGAAAAGGGCCAGATAGTAAGTAATTTAGGCTTTGCAGGCCAGATTGTCTCTATCCAACTACTCAACTCTGCAGCTGTAGCACAAAAGCAGCCACTGACCAACATGTAAGAGAACAGGCATGGCTCTGCTGCACTCAAAAGTCATCCACAAAAGCAGACGAGGCCGCGTTTGCTGTGCGGGACACCTGAGAACATCTGGGTCCTCTCAGCAACCTGCAGGGCTGCACCAGCCCCATGTGTTAGCTGGGATTAACTGAGTTATTTCAGCTCTGAGCACCCTGTCTGAGTTTGCTGAGTTGGCAGGTGCTGCTGGGGCTCCAGCCCGAGGCCCGAGCTCCATCATGCTCTCATCCTTTGGTTAGAGACAGATGTGCATAAGCCCACCACGGTGCAGCCTGTGATCAGATCAAGGGCTCAGAGCCTGGTGTGCAGGGCAGAGGCTCACAAAGACAGAGGCCTCTGATGAAGTGGACTTGGAAAGTTTTGACTATAGAGGAAATCCACGAACCTTGAAAACAAAGCAGGAAAGTGGCGTGTGCACCCCTACACACCTTCCTGAACCAGGATGGCAGACAACGGAGGAAGGGGTGGAATCACCCGTGTCTACAGAGACAAATGTTACCCACCATCAACTCTCTGCCATGCCCCTTTCAAGGGGCTCTTCTCTTTCTCATCCTGAGTCATCAGTGTGCCTCTAAAAATCATGCCAACAGATTCTTATCTAACCATTCCTTTTGGAAAAACTGTCTTCTATCATAAATGTACATATTAAATATTTACTACAGAAAGTTCAAGAAATCTGCCTTCCTTTATTATAGGCAATCATATTTTATTTTTTGAAAAAGGGCAAGAGAAAGTAGTTGCAGGAAGGTTCCACTGCAGAAGTTCCCAGTGCTCACCTCCTGAAACAGCGAGGACATCTCACAGACCAGACAGGAGCTGGGACTCTGCATCTCACAGCGGTGCCTGTCGGACAGGAAGAAGTCCCGCAGAAGTGGCGTGTGGGTCAGGGCCTGGACGATGCAGTTCATGAAGCACGTGTTCCCGAGGTTGATCAGCCCTCGCAGACCTGGAGGGAAGCCACGCAAGAGCAGGAGTTACTTGTACACTCTACTGCATGCGCTCCTGAATCCCAGGGGCTTCCTGTACATGCACACGTTCTGTCCTTTTCTTTTATTCATTCATTTAAGAAGCAAGAAAAGAGCAAGGGATGTAGTAGCATTTCTCTAATTTTTACGCTACTTTTATATGGACCGTACTGAGGAATGTTCACCATCATCACCCTCCTCCCACTCTGGCCATTATATGTTTTGACATATTTTCTACGATAGGTCAGGCCAGAATGGAGCCACTCTTAACAAACAAAAAAGCCTTAAAAATATTTTCCTCAACTCTTAGAAAACCCAGAGAACACTCTCACATATATGTATGTCATTTTCTCTCCCTGAAGATGACCATACCCAGCTTCATCGTGGCCAGAATAAACTTGGGACCTTTTACAAGGAGACTCTAAGGGCCCGGGCAGGGGCTGCTTCTGCCCATCACTCTGTGCCCCAAGCCTCCGTCAGGTCTCTGCAGAGAACAGGTGCTCAAGACCTGGCTGTTGAGCAAACCAATAACTGACAGGTACACAGGGCTTAGATGGAACCACACTGAGTTATAAAACCCACAATTGTGCAGTTACTCTAAAACCTGACAAAGAAGCCTGACTAGGAGTGAAAAGAGACCAGACTCTGAACACTGTCCTCCACTCACCTATGGTGCAGTTAGAGGTGATCTTTCTCCTTTTTGGGTTGTGTTTCAGCAGTTCAAGCTCCCGTTTGGTTGGTTCCCAAGTTGAAAACTTCTCTCCAACACCTAAGCAGATGAAGGGCAGTTCCAGGTGGTGTTAAGCTATATTTTCATCAAGTATGTTTACAAATAAAATTGTGATGACACACTATCCACCGGGTTGTATTTCAAAGAGGAACATCCATAACATTAAGAATTTCTAAAACCCTACAGTGCCGAGACAGGCTAAACAGAACACTTGAAGGAGTTTCTCTCGGAGAGTGTGCTGTGCGTAAGCTATGATTCCTGCAAGAAGGAAAGCAACACCTCCAACTAAAGCCATCCGAACACTAATGCCAAGATAGGTTTTTCCAAATGTCTTCAGTCCTTGAGTCAAGAGACTGCACCATCAGCACCAGTGGGAACTACCTGGCAACTAAGATGAAGGATTCTCTTGCAGATGAGTGAAGCTGACAGAGAAAAAATGCACTTTTGGGCAAACTAAAAAAGACCCAACAGTTGAACAGCTGTATCCCATAAAAGATTCAAACCAAAGACGATGATGGTTTAAATGCTAATAAGCATCATATTTCATCCTAGTACACACCCTATTCACTCAGAGGTACTTGTTCCATGCTACCTAATATTCCTTCATAATTCAATAAACTTTAAAAAAGAGACAGCACCTCGCAAGCAGATGGAATTACAGAATAATTTTGGAAGAATTCTATTTTATCACAGGACATGCATTTCTTTTTTTTTTTTTCCTTTTTGTCTTTTTTCATGTCCGGCAACGGATCGGAACCCTCAGTGTTGCACCCGTACCGGACCGGGACCGGCAACAGGATCGCAAACCTCGGTGCTGCGCCCACACCTTGCTCAACCAGTGAGCGGGAACTGGTCTGTATGTGGGATCCGAACCCTCGGCGGGAGCGCCACCGCACTCCCAAGCGGCGCACTGTAGCAGTGCGCCACCGGGCCGGCCCAGGACATGCATTTCTTACCCCTGTGGTTTAAGTGTTCTGCACAAAGAAATAATATACCCACACTTAATTGCAATGTTATTAAATTTTTCAAGGGGAAAAGAATAGCGAAAAACAAGTCAAAGGGATCTGTATTTAAAAAGACCTGTTATTAACAACACCACAACTAAGTGTGGGTATATTATTTCTTGTGCAGGACACTTAAACTCCAAAAAATATCTGTTAAACACAAATAATTTTGATCACTGAGAGTACCTGTTTCTATTCTTCCATTAAACAAGGGGCTATGTCTAATGGAGAACAATCAAGGCACAAATGTGTACAACAGGTGCCCAGTTTACATGTACCCTTTGTAAACAGTGGTGGTCCTGCTGCTTGAGAGATGAGATGCTCACTGTCAACTGGGGCAGATTATACTCATCACTGTCATTTTTGTGTGTGTGTGTCTTTTTTTTGTGTGTGTGTGTGACCGGTAAGGGGATCGCAATCCTTGGCTTGGTGTCGCCCGCACCACGCTCAGCCAGTGAGCGCACTGGCCATCCTCATATAGGATCC